TTTCACCATATTGGTCAGGCTGATCTAGAACTCCTGACCATAGGTAATCCACCCACCTCGGCCTCCCAAAGTGTTGGGATTACAGGCGTGAGCCACTGCGCCCAGCCTGCAGCTTACTTTATATGAAGATACTGAAACCGCCATTGAAAAACTGTAACTGAGATGGTGAAAGAGATCTGACCCAACCAGCTCTATCCTGCTTCTTAACACACCTCCAAGCTGCCCTTGTACATTCCTGGGCATAAGCTGAACTAACTTTGGGAGGAATTTAGTTTATGGTTTATAGTTTAAAACAAAGGCTGGGCACGGTGGCTCACACCTGTAATCCCAACAATTTGGGAGGCGGAGGCGGGTGGACCACCTGAGTTCAGGAGTTCCAGACCAGCCTGACCAACATGGAGAAACCCCGTCGCTACTAAAAATACAAAAAAATTAGCCAGGCGTGGGGGTGCATGCCTGTAATCCCAGCTACTCAGGAAGCTGAGGTAAGAGAATCACGTGAACCCGGGAGGCAGAGATTGCAATGAGCCGAGATTGCGCCGTTGCACTCTAGCCTTGGCAACAAGAGCAAAACTCCGTCTCAAAAATAAAATAAAATGAAGTAAAACAAAGACGGCAATAGCCCTTTCCCAAAACAAACCTCCTTCTTGCCTGGGGACTAGGCTGCCTTTATAGGACTAACAAATTAGCTACACAATTAGAAATTATGGTTTAAGAGTCATGCGGCTGGAGGCTACAAGATTCTGACCCTCCTTAAACTGCTCCTAAGATCAGTGCTTGAGATATTTTGCAGACCCTGCACTTGATGAATCAGCTGGCACCACCCAGATTGATAAACTGGCTCATGTGATCTGTGGCCCCCACCCAGATCTGACTCCTTACAAGAGGACAGCGTCAGCTCCCTATGATCTCATCTCTGACCCAACCAATCAGCACTCTCGACTCACCGGCCTTCCCCTACCCACCAAATTATCCTTAAAAACTCTGATCCCTGAATGCTCGGGAGACTGACCTGAGTAATAATAAAATTCCAGTCTCCCACACAGCTCGCTCTGCGTGAATTAACTCTTCCTCTATTGCAAGTACCCTGTCTTAATAAATCAGCTCTGTTGAGGCAGCAGGCAAGGTGAATCCATTGGGCAATTACAATATCACCATATTGATAATTACACTGTGAAAAGCAAATTATTATAATAACTCCACTAACCTGAATCCATAGAAATTACAGTATTTTATTTTTTATGAATATTTTTTAAAACAACAGATAATAGGTCGGGCATGGTGGCTCACACCTATAATGCCAGCACTTTGGGAGGCTGAGGCAGGAGGATCACTTGAGCCCAGGAGTTCTAGACCAGACTGAGCAACATGGCAAAACCCCATCTCTACAAAAAAAAACTTTTCTAATTAAAAATTTAGCCAGGCGTGGGGGTGCACACCTGTAGTCCCAGCTACTTGGAAGGCAGAAGCAGAATAACTGCTTGAGTCCACAAGTTAGAAGCTGCAGTGAGCTATGATCATGACACTGCACTCCAGCCTGGGTGACAGAATAAGACCTCATCTCAAAGAAAAAAAACAAAATATTTTGAAGCTTTCTACAGTAAAAAAATATATTCAGATATCTATTTTAAGATAAACTTACTGAATAATAAGGAGTAAAGCTTTTGCTTAGTTCCTTTTTAAAATCTCTAAGTGCACCAGTTCCTTTTCCTAGCTTAGGAAAAGACCTAAGGCATAGTGATCTATGACAATAATAGAATATTTGCTTCATGGTATAGGCTCTTTTGGTATCTTAAAGCAATGATCATTATGTAGTGCCATGGATAAGCTATAGAAGAAATCACAGATAAAGCTAAGTATGTACTAACCCCCGGCTATTCTTTGAAAGTTTCTTTGGAAAATATAAGCATACTATTTAGTACTTATCCCTATCTCTGAAAAGTAGAATGCAGGAAAAATTGCAACTATTAAACTCTTTAGTCAAGTTCTGATTACTCATTCACTAATTCAAAAACTGCTGTTGACCAGCCTGGCCATGGAGAAACCCTGTCTCTACTAAAAATGCAAAAATCAGCTGGGCATAGTGGCGGGTGCCTAGAATCCCAGCTACTCGGGAGGCTGAGGCAGAAGAATTGCTTGAACCTAGGGGGTGGAGGTTGCAGTGAGCTGAGATTGCACCACTGCACTCCAGCTGGGCAACAGAGTGACACTCCATCTCAAAAAAAAACAAAAAAAATTAGCCAGGTGTGGTGGCTCACGTCTGTAATCCCAGCACTTTGGGAGGCCAAGACGGATGGATCATGAGGTCAGGAGTTCAAGACCAGCCTGGCCAACATAGTGAAACCCCGTCTCTACTAAAAATACAAAAAATTAGCCAGGCGTGGTGGCGGGCGCCTGTAATCCAGCTACTCAAGAGGCTGAGGCTGGAGAATCGCTTGAATGCGGGAGGCAGAGGTTGCAGTGAGTGGAGATCACCCCACTGCACTCCAGCCTGAATAAAAGGGTGAGACTCTGTCTCAAAAAAAAAAAATTGCTGTTGGCTGTAGAACCCCTATCATGTGCTCTGCATTACATGTGGAACTGGGAATAGAATAACAACCTTCAATGGCGTGAGGGAAACTGGCAAGTAAAGAGGAAGTAAAAAACGAGATAGAGGTCAAGTGCGGTGGCTTATGTCAGTAATCCCAGCACTTTGGGAGGCCAAGCCAGGTGAATCACTTGAGGTCAAGAGTTAGAGACCAGCTGGCCAATATGGTGAAATCCCCTCTCCACCCAAAATACAAAAATTAGCCGGGCAAGGTGGTGCACACCTGTAACCCCAGCTACTCTGGAGGCTGAGGCATAAGAATTGCTTGAACCTGGGAGGCAGAGGTTGCACTGAGCTGAGATTGCCCCAGTGCACTCCAGCCTGGGTGACAGAGCAAGACTCTGCCTCAAAAAATAAAATAAAGGCCGGGCACGGTGGTGCATGCCTGTAATCCCAGCACTTTGGGAGGCCAAGGCAGGTGGATCACGAGGTCAGGAGTTCGAGACCAGCCTGACCAACATGGTGAAACCGCATTTCTACTAAAAATACAAAAATTAGCCAGGCGTGGTGGTGCGCACCTGTAATCACAGCTACTCAGGAGGCTGTGGCAGGAGAATCGCTTGAACTGGGGAGGCAGAGATTGCAGTGAGCCAACATGGTGCCACTGCACTCCAGTCTGGGGGACAAAGTGAGACTCAGTATCAAAAAAAAAAAAAAAAAGAAATGCAAGTAATTCCAACCTACATATGCTATATGCCTTTCTGCTTAAACAATCTATGTTTTTAAGTATAAATTGTCTATGAAAATAAACACTTCTGGCCAGGCATGGTAGCTCACGCCTATAATCTCAATACTTTCGGAAGCCAAGGTAGGCCAATCACATAAGGCCAGGAGTTCAAGAACAGCCAGGCCAACATGGCAAAACCCCATCTCTATGAAAAACACAAAAAAATTACTCCTTTACCTGATGCAGGTCTCTACTCAAATGTCACCATATGGGTAGAGCATTCTCTCACCTACCAGTATGAAATAACTTATCCTCACCCCACCCCCTTGCCAACTACCAGACTCAATTATCAGAAACAAAAATAAAAGTGCTTATTTATTTACTATCTATCACCCTAACCTAGAATACAAATGCTCTAGAGAGCGCAGATGGATTTTTATCACTCCTATATTCCAGAATCGGAGTCTACTGCCTGGAAGATCATAGGTTTGCAGTAAATATTTGGTGGATGACTGAGTAAAAACTTACAATACTAGGAATTTTTCTGATGCAAACTATTAATATAACATTTTATGTTATGAGTCACTTTTCTCTATTGCATCCCTAATTAAGAGTTAAGTACTTATATAGAAAACTAAGTAACACTGTGACTTTTTCCCTTTAGCCTAAACATGCAAATACTTGCATATATAAGCAGTTCACTGGCAAGGGCTGAATAATCGGAAGACTTTATGCCACTCTTTTCCTTCTCTTGGCTTAGTGCTTCTGAATATATTGAAGGGATACCTTGGGCTCCTATGTTATTACCTTAAAGTCAATTAACATTTCAACTCTGGGCCGGGAGTGATGGCTCATGCCTATAATGCTAGCACTTTGGAAGGCCAAGGTTAGTGGATCACTTGAGGTTAGGATTTAGAGACCAGCCTCACCAATATGGTGAAACCATCTCTACTAAAAATACAAAAATCAGCCAGGCGTGGTGGTAGGCACCTGTAATCCCAGCTACTCAGGAGGCTGAGGCAGGAGAAACCTTTGAACTTAGGAGGCAGAGGTTGCAGTGAGCCAAGATCACGCCACTGAACTCCAGCCTGGGTGACGGAGTGAGACTCTGTCTCAAAAAAGAAAAAAAAAAAAATTGTAAGAGTTAATAACAGTACTTTGTAAACATTTGTAAAACATCAACATAAAAATTAGCAAAACTATAGGCAGATAATTCAAAGAAAAAATATGAATAGCCAATAAATTTATGAAAATTTTCATTTAGATTAATGTTCCTTAATAATGTTCAGCATCCAAGGCCAGATGTGGTGGCTCACACCTGTAATCCCAGCACTTTGGGAGGCTGAGGAGAGTGGATCACGAGGTCAGGAGATCGAGATCATCCTGGCCAACATGGTGAAACCCCATCTCTACTAAAAATACAAAAATTAGCTAGGCATGCTGGCACATGCCTGGTAATTCCAGCTACTCAGGAGGCTAAGGCAGGAGAATCGCTTGAACCAGGGAGTCGGAGGTTGCAGTGAGCCGAGATCGCGCCACTACACTCCAGGCTGGCAACAGAGCGAGACTTTGTCTCAAAAAAAAGAAAAAAGAAAAAATTAATGTTCAGCAACCTAAATGGCCTGGGAAAAAAGAAAGCAGAATAACTTCCAAAAAAAAAAAAGCCAGCAAGAGGTTTCTTACAGCAATAAGAAAACACAGAAACTGGAAAACCTTTTAACTGACAAGGATGTGGGGTTGAAATACCTGTGATGGAACAATAGATGATGTGAGGAGCAATCTTGTCTATATCTTCATATCCCAGGCCCATTGCAGACAGTTTGCCAGGGACATAGTTCTCCACAAACACATCACAAACAGCTGCGAGCTGATGGAAGAGGTGAACATGAGTCAGACTTCCCCTCAACAAATCCTCACATGATAGAATTTTAAATTCTACACAATTGATTCTCCCTTTCTAATAGCTCAGAAAAATCACAGGACCGATGAAGCAAATTAGATAAACATAGAAGTTCTGGTCAACTACTTAAAGCATTACTGTCAGTAAAATAATGGCTTTTAAAGTTTTTGTAAGTACATGGTATTGAATGGATTCTGCATCCTTTAAATATAATAAATATCTAGACTACATGGTCTGTCCAAATAGATTCTCAAAAGATTAGGTAGAAAAATTAGAATGTAAGTACATTAAATCTATGAAAAACACCTTTTAAAACATTTACAAGAAAACTAAATAGGTCATGTCTGGTTGCTCACTTCTCTAATCTCAGCACTTTGGGAGGCCAAGGCAGGTGGATTGCTTGAGCCCAGGAGTTCAAGATCAGGAGTTCAAGACCAGCCTGGGCAACATGGCAAAATCCCATCTCTACAAAAATTAGCCAGACAAGGTGGTGCACACCTATGGTCCCAGCTACTCAGGAGGCTCAGGTGGGAGGATCTCTTGAGCCAGCAAGTTGAGGTTGCAGTGAGCTGCGATGGTGCCACTGCACTCCAGCCTGGGAGACTATTAGACCTTGTCTCCAAAAACAGACCTAAATACAAAGTCTTTACTACTCAACATCCCTATTGTTACGTAATATTCCTCATTATAACATGCACTTAACGCATGTAAACAGGATTCTGAAATGTTTTCACACCTTTCAGATGCATTCTTCCCAAAGAGTTTTAAATGTATTTAATGAACCACCGAAGTTTTTTTTCTTCAGGCCACTAAACTATAGCCCAGTAAACCAGGAACTGTCAAGAACAAATTCCAGATTGTGATGCCCAGACCACTGTTACAGGAATTAGAGGACAATACAGCACTGTAAACCTTAATTTTAATTTTTTTCCCAAAATTTCAATTGCGACTACTTTTAAAAATGTTTGTAAAGGGCCAGGTGCAGTGGCTCACACCTGTAGTCCCAGCACTTTGGGAGGCCAAGTAAGGCAGACCATTTGAGGTCAGAAGTTCAAGACCAGCCTGGTCAACATGGTGAAACCCTGTCTCTACTAAAATTACAAAAAAATGAGCCAGGTGTGGTGGCACATGCCTGTAATCCCAGCTACTCGGGAGGCTGAGGCACAAGAATCACTTGAACCCAGGAGACAGAGGTCACAGTGAGCTGAGATCGCACCACTGC